GGCATAATTTTGTGGATTTCCCAAATTTTAAGATTTAAAATATGTGGGGTTTCCTTTGAGATTATAATGCTACAAGTAGGTTAGCTGGTTGCTCATTCTTCATTCCAAGATTTGAACTACATGCAGGGATAACACAACCAAGCTCAATAGATGGAAGCTCCCTAGAGGAATCAGAAGATAAAGAGGTTAAAACAAAGTTATCAAGAGTATTCATTCTTCTTGCAGTCAAGTATTATTGATTTTAGTAGCAATGTGTGTATGGCAACACCACAGTACTACTGCTTTTTAAATTGGTATCCCCAGTTTTGCTTGTCCTTAATTGGTTTCTTTGTACAACATGCTAATCTTTCTCTCAATCTTTTCTCCTTTTCCTGCTGCTTTTGGATATTTTGATGTGTGAACCCTCATCCTGGATTCTTTTGTTTCCCACTAGGAACCACACTGGTTGAATGACAGATTTTTTTTTTTTTCCCCTTCAGAAACAACTCTTTGTTTCCTTTTCTCTTCAGGAAGGAGGAGGTGGTTTGCAAATGTTGCCTGCCCATTGTTTGGACCGCACTAGCTCTCGAGCTCCCAAAACAGATGTCTGATGACTGCACAGCAATGCCAAGACACAGACAAGGGCTTCTGGCAAAATTACACTCTGTACTCTATACTGACTCTAACAGGACAAAACCAACCACTTGGAAGTCTTGGCATAGGCTGTGAGAGTGTGATTGGTAATTTGTAATTGACGCATTTATCAAAACTCCATGAAAATAATGTAAATTTGCAAGCAGCTTCCTTGGAAATGGAGGTAACCGAGTTTTCTCTGGTGCCACAAACCTGGGTGCAGCAGACCCACCGTGGGGCCGCTGCTGTTCTGGGCACTCACAAACGCAGACTCCCTGTCCAAGAGCTCACAGGCTAGGAAGGCAAGTAAGATACTAAGGCTTAAAAGAGATTCGGATATTCTGTACAAGAGTGAATGGAGACATTTCAAGGACACTCAGATATAACCTCCAATTTCCGTTTTCAATGAGTTCCCTCGCAGTCCTGCTCCAGCCAAACCTGAGTGCAGGCAACACCTCTAATGTGGCTAGAAAGAAACACAGAATTAACAGAGATATATAGAGAATCATTAATATTGCTTTAGCTATGAATTGGACCTTTCTAATGAGATGGAGGAATTTCAAGATCTGGTCTTTATTTCTGGAACTGTTTCTGTATTTTCAGGTCAAAAACCTGTCCTGAGACATTAATCTGCCCACATGCATTAGCAGCTGCACAGGCAGTACAGCTGTTTTGTTATTCACAGATCATAAGGAACCTGGATCTACAAGTCAGGGCACATGGCAAAAACACTAATGGGAGCATCTATTTCATCCCACACATCAGTGTCTGCACTGTTGTGTTATACCACTTCATTGAGAAAAGTACCTTGAGAGGGGAAAGCGAACTTGGCCCTCCCAGTTTCTGAGTCAATGATCTATTCAGAGAGAGGAGCATGACCATCTCAATAACTTGAAACAACAGCAGTTATCACTGTATTTCTGGGGGGTCTGATCTTAGCAGTCTGCACCAAGCACGCCTTGAGAATACCTACAGATTCTTCTCCCTAAAGAACAGGGAATGTTTCTAACTCCTAGTATTACTTATGCAGGAGATAAGAACTGAGTCATTCATACCAGGCCAACAGCAAAACAGGACAGAAGGCTTCTAGAAACTTTAAGTCAAAGAAGGAAATATCTCCTGAGGTTAAGACCTCAAGGATTGTACACTGGAATAATGGAATAAAACATGTCTCTGTTATGTTGCTGTGGAGAAAAATTAGATGTTTTGGTGTAGCAGAAGGGAGAAAGGAGGCTCTTCCTCTCAGAGTGATACTGACCTGACTGGAAGCTAAAACCACCTCCTGGTTTAACAGCAGAGTTGCAGTAAGCAAGCATGATTTGAAATCAAAAACAAATAGGAAAGTGAATATTTTTGCCTGTAATAATACAATGACATTAATAATATCAAGTAGAGCAACATGGGGAGCAGAGGTCTGACCTATATTCATCCTGAAAGAAGTCACCTCTCAAAACTATCCAACACAATGCGCATCTTCATACCAAGGACCAAGGAGTAGAGCTGAGCTATTGAATAAAAGCTCTGGCCCTTTGGTGTTGATCAGGTTTTTAGAATCCCAGGTAACGAGGTTCCAAAAAGTAAGACAGAGTCTGTCTTGTCAATCTCAAGAGACATTTGCTGCAAGAAGGAAAGGATGAGAGCACAAAGTGTTGCAGACATTCATCATCCTACTCCAAGTGCTGCTGAGGGATGCTCAGACTGAGCCTGCGTAGGATACAACTGAATATATATAAACAGCAAAATAGTTCCTGTGACCTTCTTGCTGCAAATATCAGTAGTTTTGAAGCCATCTACATCCTTCAAATGTGCCAATGTACTGTATGCATTATTTCACCCCTTTCCTCTAATTGCTTGATTCTCCACAATTTCTAGGTATGTCCCAGCACATTCGGAAAAAGGATCTGATGAATCACAAAACCCACATAATTTATTGCATCCTCTCTCAATACAGCTTTTCAGTCTAATTTAACGTATTATTGAGAATAACACATTCATTAAAACAGCTGCCAGCAAACTGTTCCTTTGGATTGTTTCATGGAAGCACTAATGAAATAGAAATAAAACACTGCATACTAATGATATGCAAAAAGGACAAAAACAATTGAGTTTTGATACATTGGTATTGAGATGTTAATATGTTTTTTTTTTTAATGAGTAATGCAATCCAGGCTTTTATATGGTAAATATCAAGCATCACAAAACCGGTGGTTCTTTTCAGCAAACTTACAAGATATAATTTTTTTTTAAAAAAAAAAAAAAAAAGGCAAAAAGGCGGGGGGCTGCTCAACAAGGATGAATTAATGAGCACGGAATTACTATTTATTGTTTCTGTATTGCTTCTTCTCTGTCTGTGAGCATTTAAGTAGGAGATATTTGGATCCATAGTTTCCTCGTTTCTATTGGAAAATCTTGGATTCTAGTGGTGTGACTCAAATGAATACCTAATCTTCTATCGTAGCCAAGCACAAGCAAATACTGTTGGTGTCTGAATGGGACCAAATTTGTAACCCACCATTAAAACTTCACCACTAATTCTCTCCAAATCTGGTTTCATCATTGCCTAGTGAAATGCAGCTTAACATCCAGTACAGTTTAAATAAAAATACATCATCAGCAATAGACATACACACAAGGAAAAATATTGATAATGTGTATAATAGCATGTTTTATTAAAGGTACTGCCTTAAATTCTTATTCTTTTTTTTTCCATAAAAAATAACAAACTAAATTATCTGCTCTTTCATGGCTAGTGTGCTTGTACCAGTCTGAACATAACTAAAGATGGACAACCCAGGTTATCTCTTTACTCAGCTGAGACTCCAGAGGTTTAAATTCTGCACTACTGCAGGTGTAGAAGAAGGGAGAAAGTTTGCCTGGGACAGCCCATCAGTAGTCAAACATTAATCTGTGGATTTGCTGCTTTTCAGCTTTTTAAATCCTGCTCAGATTCTAGCAGTTTGGGAGCATTCTTCCTTTTTTTTTATTATTCCTTTTATTTTTATGTTTGTTATTTTTATGTTGTTATATGTATGTAATATAATTAATTGAACTGTTTCCTTAATAACAAGAGAAAAAAATAGATCTATTTACATGCCTGTTTCCCTTTTGAATTGAATCAGCATTACTGTAGAGTTATTCTGGGGGGAGGGATAATCATTTGACTAATGTGTGCTTTACTTTTTTTCAGCCTTTGGGGAAAAAAAACAGATTATATCAAAAACAGGAATCTAATCAATTCTGAATGTCATTCTCTAGAACATCCCAAGACAGAGGCGAGCAGTGAACACATAGGCACATAGTGGAAACCTGTATTCCATATTTTAGCATATACACTCTGTCCATAAGAAAAAAAAAAAAAAAAAAAAAAAATGCTTTCACTGTAGTCTCCAAAGAAGGAGTTAATTTGGCCTAATACAGCTATCTAGAAATCAGTTATTCACTCCAAGCTCATTGGCAGGCAGTGGAAAGGAAGACAGAGTTTCAGAGCATGGTTTATCACACTAAAATAGATGTTTGCAATTTGATCAGATGAATCACTTTCCAAAAGCATTTGTAATGTCTATAAAGGCAAAATAGGATAAGTAACTTAAATGTAGATGTCTACACTGTAGGTGTTTAAATTTAGTTGACATTAATCCATCCAAGGTGTTTCTTGATTCAGCTTAATAAAGAAGACTAATACATGATGTCATGCAAAGTTTATATTTTGTGACTTCATGGCAGATATTAAGTGCTCATTTTTGTTAAGAAATTGGTACTACCATAATTGAGGATTAAAAACATGGAGTGAGATATTAATAACTTAAAAATCTTTTTTTTTTCTCTAGAGTCCTTTTATAGTCAATAGAGATAGGTATTTTCCCAAGATGACTTGTTTTGCCTTAAAATTATCACTGAGGTTACTTGGAAACAATCTCCCACTGAATATTGATATCCTCTCTCTATGGTATAGAGGGAATACACTTTAATCTATATGAAAGCAGTAGTTTACATTGAATAATTCACTTCTAGTTAACTAATCGTAGAGGAGATTAATCCATCCATGTTATTTAAAGATAATAATTCCTATATCTGAGGAAACATGGCTCCAGTAAAGAGGATACAGCCACTGCAAAAGTTTTGCTAGGTATTTGTATAGGTATTTGCTGCTGTTCAAAACATTTCTATAAATTATTATTAGTTTTACATACAGTTTACATAGCAGTTTCACACATCTGATGACTGTACTGAATAATATATATTTTTTTGCTTTCTGGCATATGTATATAAAAGCTCATTTAAATCCTATTGGAATTCATTCCTTTGGGAAGCATTCAGTAGGATTCACATTCAGAGTGTTTTAATTCTAGTAATAATAACATTTCCTATAGCAGTTTGAGTTAACCTAGACACTTGACTAAACACCAGTGGAACTTATTTATCTTGCTTTGTGTTGGTCCAAATTAGTAGATCCATTTTTCTGCAAGAGAAAAAAGATTGGTTACAAATGCCAAGCAAATCAGTATTCTCTAAATTTTGCATAAGAAAACTTTAGGGCAATTGAATTGTTCAGATTGTTTTTTTTCTTCTTCTTTTAAAGATTTATAACTATCACAATGCTTCATGAATTTTTTTAACCCAATTAACTGGATCATTCACTATTCCCATCAAATATTGCAATAGCTTAATAGCATTACATATTCTAACAAAACAATTTGACTATTATAATTTCATTTAACATAATGCTATCTCAAAAAAGTACATCATCGAACACTAACTTAGCAGAACATTTCATCTAGGGTTCCACTTGTCTCTATTCAACACAGAGGTCCTAATTTATAGTATTGTGAATCAATAATTGCCATGAACAGGGAAGACTTAAAATCCTGCAACTCCTAGAAAAATTAACGAAAAAAGCTCCAGTCTTTGCTGTCGTGTATGTTTGTTTACTCACTGTGCTCCACACGAAGCTAAGAATGCTACTTGCTGTAAAACATTTTAATTATGATTCAGTAGACTTTGTAAGTTCTTTTCATTGGACAGAATAACTACATGAGGTGAAAAATCTTCAGCAGCCTGGCTTAATCTTTTAAGCATAGCAACCTGATACTCAAATGGCCGTGACCTTGATATTCCGGTGACTTTCAGGGCAAGAATCAATGGCATCATTATGTACAGTGACTGCAGGCATATATTCAAGTTATTGGAATGAAGTTCTACAGTTGCTTTTTTTTTTTTTTCTTCTTATTTTGTTCAATATAATACATTCTCATCTTACCTCTTACTTTGGAATAGCAAGGCTCACAGTGCACAGTTTGTCTGTAAATCCAAATGCTGTCTCCTGCTCTCAGATCTTCCAGTGGTCTTTTGCATACTTCACACTTCAACACGCAAGTAGAAGTAACAATAAAAAAATGAAACCCTTCCCTAATATTCATTCCCAGCATACTGTCTTCTGGGATGCTGCCATTCCCAGATGATACTGCAGTACTCATAACCCCCTATTCTCATCATTCTCATTAATGAAAGAGTGACTTTCATCTACACTAAATCCTAATCTTTAGACTTCTGGTAGTAAGATATCTAAGTTGGAACTTGCTCCCTAGGTTCTCTTTATAGTCATGCCTTCTGGCCTCATGCTTCTGACGGGTGGTTTCTCCGTCTTAGTTTAGAAATGTATTCTGAGATGAACCACCCTTTGAAGATTATTTTTTGTTTTCATTAAGAAAATCGGTAAAGGAAGCACAATCAGACTTAAACACTCAACAGCAGTAAATGTTCTCATCTCAAGGAAACTAAACCTGAGTATTTCAAAATGCTTTATGATACTTTATCTTATCCACTAAATACATCCCCATCATTGCTGAATCTGGATACTGCTTTAATAAGTCTGTGCAATAAAAGAGTATCTCCCATTTTTCAGACACAAAAATATACAGAGATCACAAGGCAACTCTACAGTGGATCAAGCTGCAAGCTTAAGTCATTCAATCTTTAGGCCAGAATCTTGATCTCCACAGTTCATCTCTTTTTTTTTTTTTTTTTTTTTTTACTCAGTAAGAGAATGAGAAATTCTGGTGTCTTGGGTATTTTATCCATTGATATGTGAAAATTAATATCGCTTTTACAGCGACATTCAGTAATCAAATTGTCTGCTAGCCCGGAAAGGCCTCATATTACACATACTCCCTGGGGCTAGTATGACATTGAAACTGGGCACTTGATATTTATAAGCATAGCACAGAGGCTAGAGAACATTAAAAAAAAATCCAGTTTTGCAGAACTCTTTTTTTCTTTCCTATATCTTTTCTAAATAAGCTATTAGTATTAAGGTACCTAAACTATTCAAATGAGTCTGTTCTTTCTTTTCTCTCACTTCATGTTTTCTTGTATAAACCACCAAAATGATGGGAACGTTTTCAAAGCTTTGATCACTGGGTCCAACTAGTATTTTTATGTCGAGGACACAGTCTACAAGGCAGATGATTCACTCACTGAGGTTTCGGTATGGAGCTTTCAAGGGGAACCTTACGCTCCTGTCAAGCTATGCGCTCTCTCTAAGGATACAAGGGATCTGTAAGGAGCTAAATGAATATTAATGATGAGCTACCGCAGTACTTAGCTAAGTACATAACTGCAAGCATGAACCACAGAGCTGCATTAGCTGATTAATTTTCTGTAAATGCTTTCATAAATAGGCAGTTACACAAAACTTAAGCTGAGTTTTTCCGACTAGATAAGTTGCCGTTTTGGTAAAAGTAACAAAAAGAATACCCTTTTAAAAAGTAAACTTCAATTTTTTTAAAAAAAGAGTAAGTTAATGCTCTTAAGTCTGTTAGCCCATTCTTTGTTATGTGGGCTGATACATCCAAAAAGAAAAGAATCGAAGCAGAGTTTGTTTCTACTTGTAGCAATGCACTTGCAGAAATATTATATAGTGATTGTCTCAGAAGAGAATTACATGTCTAGTGTTCACAGGGCCCAGAAAATCCATATGAGACAAAAAGTATACACAGGCTTGCAGATGTAAAGCACAACCTTAGTGCCATGTTCGGGTTTGGATCACTTCTCTTGCAGTAACTAGGTAAAGGAATTGCTGTCAGAAGCGCAAGTATAAGCTATGCAAGATTAGGCTGAAAATGAGCCATGCAAATGAGGCAGTTTTGCTTAGAGTTGCTTGTCAGAACATTGAACTTGGTGCATGTGCATACAAAGAGAACGGAGACAAGGAGTATCAAGAAAAGACAGACTATAGAGCAGTTCTCTGGTGGGTGAGCCCTGACAAAAGGTTGAAATAGAGTTTTGGACTGAGTGTAGCTTGGGCTTTGGAGTAAAAAGCAAGATTTTTTCTCCTATTTTTCATTCTTACTGGAAATAGGAAACAAGATTTTCAACATAATTTTTAATAGGACTTAAATAAAGACTTATCCAACTTCAACATCATCTTAACAGTACAATAGAAAAAAAACATAGGACCAAAATTTTAATCAGTTTTAACCAGTTCTTTGACCCTGAGGGATGAAATGATTTCATCTCTGAATGAATATAGCTCATTCATAAGCCATAATTTTAGATGTCACTTAATAAAGAACAAAACACATTTTATAAATAAGAGGAACAAAATTTTGATACTAAAAAAAAAGTGTGAGCAGTACATACTAGATATATCAGACTGGAAGTGAATGTAACTGAAGGCTTATAAATGTGTAGGAGAATCAGGATAAACGTCACCACGTCCTTCATCCTCCTTGTGGTTGCAAGAGGGGAGAGAGAGGGAGAAAGAGACAGAGAAAGAAAAGGGGGAGGGAGAGACAGAGAGCTAGGGATGGTATTACCAAGATTAATCTTCCCTTCCAGTGTACAAGCTTTCCCCTTCTTCTGTGTGCAGAAGGCTTAATTCTCTTATTATATGTGTAATATAACATAGATATTACATTTAAGTTATATTTGCCAGCAGCAGGTTTAATCTTCTTACCTTGAAGCAGGTTGAATGACAGCAAATTTGCAAGGCATCTAAGATCATTTTGGCATCTATGCCCAAGGGCTTCCTGCAGTATGTACATATATCTTTTCCAATTATACTCCTGTGTATATAATATAACATCAGCTGTCAGGAAAAAAGAGCTACCACTGAAATCTCAAGGAGAAAATTGGTTATCTTAGTGTATTACATGGGAAAGACATTAGTGCACAGTACAATGATCATAAATGGAAACATGTCACATGTACATTCCCTCCACTCTAGTTGACAGGCATAATATAGATGCTCCCGTGATGGGCGAAATGATGAATAAAATTGTCAAGTAGCAAAAATACCTTGATAAAAAGAATGGTGGTCTTTGATGAACTGAATGATTTCAAACAGTAATGAGACTGCATTAAATTGCTGAATGCATGCGAGCATGTATACAAAATGGGGGTGAAGTGGAATGTATGATTAGAACATTTTAATCACAAAAGCAAATTGGTGGTTGAATTTAAAGTGGCATCATGTGATCAGTCTGGTACAGAATTCTCTGTGTGGCAGAGGTGGCTGCAAGCATTTTCTGCACTGCAGACGGAAATCCTACTTTCAGCGCAGTTATAATGAACATATGAAATATATAAAACTGTCCACCTGCTATTCATAACAATAATAATCTGTCCACCTTTTTATCTTCCGAGTTCTTTTTGCATCCTCATATAACAGTGACCTATCCTCTCTCTAGATAGTGCTCTGCTAGTGTTGGTTTTGCCCCGTAAAATTAACCGATCTTCCTTCTTTCCACACATTGATAAACCATTGTATTTATATTTTAAACATTTCCAGAGTTCTTTTTACACATTTCAGAAGAGACAGAAGTTTTTTATGATTCTGTATATTTCCAAATAATGAGGGTATCCATGTTATCTACATTGAAATTGGTGAGGACAGTTAAAATTTTCTTTTGTCCAAGAAGTAAGGTATTACCGGTTTGAGCAAATATCCTTATTTTTCAGAATATGTTAACTTGTGTGAAAAAATAAAGCTTTTAACAGCATTATCATGCCAGCTTATTCATCCATATCTGTCTTAAACTTGATCATCACAGACACTATTTTCACACAGGAAGGAAATTTTAGAGTAAGCAGCTACTAAAGACAGAAAGCTACAGAATCACACAGCCAACTATCACTTAGGGGATTTGCCTTTGTTTCTACAGATATTTTAAATGACAGGCAAATGTAAGATTAGTCTGCACAATTACAGTAATAGATGGTCTGACAGCAAGAGCCCGCTACAAGGGAGCTCTTTATGAAAAGCTCTCTCACTGGCCTGATGGCAACTTCCACCTCTCTCTCTGTCTAAACATTCAAAGTTTTGTCTAATAATGCAAAAGCAAAATGTTGATGCCCTGTCATACTATACAGAATTATTAACATGCACTTACCTATCAGAAGTAGAGTAAACAGTTTTGATAGTATTTCCAGTTATATTTTCCTTATAGGCACCATATGATGATTTGCTGTGAGGCAGAGTATAACAATTATTTAGCAATATCTTTTATTTTAAAAAGTTTCACTACCCTAATGATAAGACACAAGTTAAATAAATATACCACAATGCACTAAGCGATGAGTTATTTTGTCTATTATGTTCATGACAACCAAGCAAAATGTAACAAATGAAAATGTATAAAGTAGGAGCGTAACGTGTCTTGTCTTAAAGTGTTGCCGTATTATCCTGCTGCTGTATGATTCTTCCACATTTCAAAATGAAATCTATACACCCTTTGGGGAAAGTATACAAATAAGGTTGTGGGTTTGCCTGTGCTCACATATTAATTTAAATAATACATGCCAGGAAATGGTGATAGGCTTTGTTTTTTGCCTTCTGTTATTCTTCTTTCATGATTCCTCAAATAGCTGTCAAACAGCCACACAAAATTACAGTGTACCCCTAGAAATAGAGCAAGGGTCTTTAGAGTATAGCGTATGATTTGTGTTTCCTGCAGCAACTGTGCTGAATTTTAATTATTAGGGAGATTCAATCCTCTCTTTTTTTTTTTCTTTTTCTTTTTTGAACAGTCCTTGTTCTGGTTGCTTAACTGTCAGTTTTGTTTGGCATTGAAAGGATGAGCAAGTGTATGACAGCTGTGGAAGCCATCTTGCCATGCATAGCATTTCTCCAGAAATGCATAAGGTATATGGTAATCATTACACATTTCGTAGCACTTTTGAGTGATATTTAGCAGTGCTATAAAGAGTTATATATATATATATATATATATATATATATATATATATGTATGTATATATGTATATATAACATATATAAAATCATGGGTATTTGCAGAAGTTGCCCTTTTATCAGGGAATATGTAATAGAGTCCCCTACAAGTGATAACATGTATGATAACATGTGAGGTAGCCCAGATACACTATTCTTTGGTAATAGATACATCTTATTTGATTTCTATGAAACACCAGGCATGTATTAAAACTGCACAGTGAGAAGTTTAAATGACAAATTCTTATGTATGATTCAAAATACAGAGCAGTATGTCTGCTATTTAATAATAATGTGACAAGCCTGGATTTGCTTATCACAGAAGTAGCTCCTCTCAGCAGAACACCTAGTGCTTCATTTACATTGCAGGCAATATGGAAGTAAGCTCCTTAAGCAGGAAAACTGAAGTTTACTGATTTCCTTAATTTAACAAAACACATGGCGCTGTACATAGTGGCAGATGCAACTGAAATGCCTAAAGTTTCTGGCATCTCTGACCTTCTTTCTGTCATTAGGCTCATTTCTCTTAAATCTTCTCTTTAGCTCACTGTATTTGGCTGCAGAATCTGATCCTGAGACATGCTGACATTGCAAATAATCTAGTTTAATCAAAACTGCAATTGTGCGTGGCATATTCATGGATGTCTAGTGCAGTATGCCTGAAAATAACACTGTGCGTTTCAAGCACGTATTTTTAGAATCACTGTATAAAAAGTTATATAGGGAAAAATACTTGAGGTATCTCTCCAGTACCTATTTTCCTTAAATGTCCTTGTGTACACACCAGTGACCCTGGGATTTGAGTAACTGGCTGAAGTATTATAGCTGAAATACACACAAACATGAATAACTACCTTTTTAAAAAAGAAAATAGTTGTGCTATAGAAAAAAGAAGCTAAAAAGACACGGCAAAAATATTTTCGAACCAAGAGTTAATAGTCTTGCCCACCCAAAGGAAGCTCAGAACTGTAACAAATAACCACACAGCATGACACCTTGACAGTAAGTTAACACTGAGCAACGATGCAGCCTGAAAGCTCCCTACCTGACCAAGTTCATTCTTTCAGTCCCTATCACTCACTCCTTCTCTACAGCAAAACTTGTTTTTACAGCAAAATACTCTGCAGAACTTACCTGCATTAAAAAAATGAAGGAATAAACAGTTAATACACTTAATTTAATAAGCTTTCATGGATTTCTATTATAGCTTCTGGTAGGGGATATACATTTTGTCATGTTTAAGATACCTCAACCCACCGAAGTACATTCTTTCCCCTGCCTTTCTTGTGTTATGTTCCTCTTTCAATTTTAGCAGAACACCTGAGAAGCTGTATGTCTGCAAAATGCTGTGAAGTGTTAATTAATGAGTATTCCTGTGCTAAATACTCTTAATGAGTCTTAAAAGTATATGTTGTTTGGCTTTTCTCATTCTCAGACAATTTAGAGGTTTGGCCTTTATGTCCAAGGAGGTATTTCAGACTACACGGATCCCAGTCACGCTCTCTCACCCCAACTTCTGCAGCAAATATAAGAAAACGAGAGACCAAAGACATTGTGCTTAGTCATATCACACCCATGCCAAGGCCAAGCTCTAGGTAAAGGCAGGGAACTGAACTTTCTTGCATAAAAATGGTTTCTCTCATTCTTTTTTTTTTGCGAGAAAGGGCATTATGGTTCAATTCGTTGTGAACTGTACCTGGATTTTCTTTCATTGTTGATAGAATAACTTGTAGGGAGATTATTTGGAGCACTTGGAGCATTTTCATACACTTTCCGTGTCACCCTAAGAAAGCAACAAGAAAACAAACACTTTTAAAAATCGCTGTCAGCTATGTAGCTTTTGGTTATACCTTCAGTCAAAATGTAGAAACTTAAGCAACTAGCAGTGGGTAAAAGTGAAAGACTTTTCTTTTTTTCTAGTAGTGTTAAATTAGTGCTAAATTAGCTTGTGGAAAGTAATAGAATCACAGAAACCCCGTTAAGTTGTCCAGTTTATGATGGTGTCTTTCTTTGTATCAGGAACTTCAATTAACTTTAATAAAGCCCTAGTTTCCTCAAAGTGTCCACTGAGGCTTTCATCTCTACACTAATGCCTTAGTGATCGAAAGCGTTCTGCACTTTCTTGGTAGTATTCTGTGCTGTTGGAATCATGCACTATTGGGAAAGAGAATTTAGAATAGCAAGATAGGACAGATATTATCCGAAGATCTCGAGAACTGTAACATGGTTCATAATGTTTTATTCTTGGTTTTAGTACATTTTAGTTTCAAATGAGAAATAAATAAGTTTGTTTCTTGCTCTGCAGTGAGGATTTTATTAGAAACGACCAGCTGAACAGATAGACAGGCTTTTATTTCAAAGAACGGGATTATGATTCAGGCAGAAGAAATCCTGTCTCCTGCAGTTTCCTCTGCCATAAACATGGCATGCAACCAAACATAAAAATAAACTTGTCAGCCAAATTATAGGATTTAAGTAATAAGTGCTAATAATTTTCCTGATGATATTACAAAGCAGCTCAAACAAAGGCTTCTCTTTGGTTCTGCTAAAAATTATATTCCAAAACAGATTGATGATTATAAGCCTTAGAGCTGGATGTTTGGCCTGCAGTTTGATTTATTTCAGCGAGCTTGCTGAGGTCTGAAGCTTCACTGAATGACCCTTGCTCTGCACCGGTCCCTGTTTTGTATGCACGGCGTGTTGCATGAAGCAGCACCCACTATTGTGCCCGAGTCGTCATCTGGCAGACCTCCTTTCAGGACCAAGACAAACTCATTCCCTGAACGTGGGCAGTATTTGCCTCTCTGGCGAGACTGTCAAGTAGTATTGCTCGCATTAAAATACTTTATATTAAAAATAGGAGAAGCATTTACATAATTAAAAAGGGAAGTTCTTCCTCGTTATTTAAATATACAACTAAATGAAAGATTCCAAAAATACCACGTGAATTCTATCTGAAACCATAACACTAGCTTTGCTTTAATTAACCACTTGGGTCCTAGTGTCCCCAAATACTATGAATCCTAGTAGCTGTGACTCGTATTTTTTTGAGATACTAAGGGCTAGGTTAACAAAATAGCTGGATAAGCACAAAAATACTTCTATGGATCTTGTTAGTAGGCATTTTCATTCACTAAAATATTACAGATTTCAATTATTATTTATAATTATCAAAATATATGCAGCTATAGTGCACATTTTGTAGATAATTCAGAATTCTTACACAAGTAAGACACAAGGACTCTTAAATATTTGGTAAACCTTACAAAGAATTATGAATTAAGTCTCACCTCTTTTTATTTTGGGTTCCAGCAGGCTTTATTTCAGTGCGATCACCAAGGTCCTGATCTCTGTGAAAGTGAGAAATACCTCAAATTAATCAAATGATGTAATTCAATTTAAACATTTCTAATAGGTTAAATTATTTATGCTAAAGAAGAAAAAATTATATACATTTCACAAGGAAGATTCCCAATACATGTATCGCAGTTGTTTCATATAATAAGTTTTTTGTTATTTATGAAGATACATCAGTTCAAACCTCAATATTTTTCAGTTGCTCTCCAGTAAATATGCAACATTACAAAGGAACAGCAAGATACTCAAAAATATTAATGGGGTTACAGATAATTCAAGTCGGCAGAGATGTCGGGAGGTCTCTAGTCCAGCCTCCTACTCAAAGGAGGTGCAGCCCCAAGGTCTGACTAAGTTGCTCAGTGCTTTGTCCAGTTGTGTCTTGAAAACTTCTAAGGACACAGACTGCACAACGTGTCTGGGCAACATCTTCCGCTACCTGACTGCCCTCGTGGGGAAGGTTTTCTCCTTTTATCCAGTCTGAGTGTGACCTGTTTCAACTTGGGCCCATTTTCTCTCATCCTCTTGAGCTCACAGTGAGCTCAGTGTCTCCTAGGGCCCCACAGGCCTTTTCTGCACCCTGTCAGCCCCAGATGGTAATAGTGGCAAGAGGGTCCCTACCCAGTGGCAGGACTTTGCTCTTGTCCTTACTGAATTTTTAGGCCTTCCTGCTCAGTCCTCCTACCTAGGTCCTTCTGAATGCTAACTCTGTCCTCAAGCTCCTCAACTGGTTCTTACAATATATAAACCTACTTTGTCAAATCTAATACAAATATCTGGTGGACTTGAAAGTTATTAGCAATTCAGCACCTCCACTTTCTTCACTATGCTTGGATCAAGGGCTCTATACAGTCTCTAAGAACATATGACTGCATTTATATTAGTAAGTGAATCCACTGGCTGTGAAAAAGTCAATTCGATGTTAACTGACCTGTAATTAAAAATAATATTTTTACTGAAAACTGTTTAAGATTAAAAAAAAAAAGGTAAATTAGTTTTCATTTGAAAATGAAAAGTGACACTAAGAACAAAAGAGGATTCTTTTTCAATGATCCATTTTTATGGCACTCCCCTCTTGTATCTAAAGGAGAAGTTCTCGTTTAATGGGACATTTCAAATGAACTTATAAAACTTTTATGGTCGTGCATTGACTACTTAGAGTTTCAGTAAAATAAAATCACTTTCATCACAACAAATTATGTATATTTACTAGCATTTATTTAATGAGGAAATTAAAAAAAAAAGTTAAGACTCTATGGCTTAAATCAAATCAAAGTATTAACCTTGATTCTCCTAATTATTTTTACTAAACCTATTGATACTAAGATATAATTAACTTCAATTATTTTAGAAGTGTGTAGGAGAAGATTATGACAGTCTTACATCTCATTTTTCTGAGCAGCAGTGTTTATTTCAGTAACATCCTCCAAGTCTTTTCCTCTGAAAAAAAAGCAAATAAAACAGTGTTATAAAACAAAATGTAGTAAAAATAAAAAATACCTTTATGCATACATTTTAGAGGAAAACAGTGAATTATTGGATAAGTTTATGTTCAGAGTCTTCAGACATTTATGTTATTGACTATTATAAGAAAACATGTACATTTTTCTACCAGCAAGGTAAAGTTCTGTGAACTTAGAGTATTACATAGTATAGCTATACTATATAACAGAAGAAAAAAATAAAAAGACTTTGTCTGTTTACTAATATCAATGACATAGTTTAAGATTCTTCTTTGCAACTGAAAAGATTGACGGAAAAATATGATCTTTCCAAAGGATGTGATTAACTCACAGGCTCCAAGGTTAATACTTGTGTCCATTGTTAGATTTCAAAAATATGCTGTTTATTTAGATTAAAAAATTTCTATTTCTTAAGACAGCATTTGAAAACATGTACTTTTTTTTTGAATGGCAATAATGGTTAAATTTCCTTCTAGCTTTTTTTTTTTTCAATTTAACTTTTCATTTTCGTTTTTTCCCTACCTCTGCCTTAAGAGAAGTTCTCTTTTTCTACTAGTTACAGTGCTTTCTGTATGTCATTAAATTTTCTAATTTATTGAATAGAGAAGTCTTTAGGCAGAGGTAGGATGAAAATGCAGAAGACTAAGTTAGAATTGACTTTGTTTAGACATGCTCAATAAGGTTGTTTCCTGAGCATCAGAGAAATTTTAGTCTGAATTTTACTTTTGCTGCTTTGCATATTTTAGCCCAGCCATGAAATTTAAATAGTAATAAAAATACCATTTTCAAAGGTGAAATATTTGTTCTTATCACAGATAGTGTTTTTCTATTACCAGAGAAGGAAGAAACTGCATCTGGATAGCAAGAAATGGGGGATTTAACCCTCCCATCTTTTTAAATCTTCATATGTATTTTAAAACACTTCCCAGGTAAGTTCAGTTTTGCCTCAACTTAAATTGTTCTGCTTACTTTTGCACAGAAATTTCCAAGAAAAGTAGGTGAATTCTCTGAAATGCTTTATCCTTTACTCATTGCCTATTTATGAATCATAGACAAAAATATAGACTGAGATCTCCCAATGATTTAAGAATCATTTCTTCAGAAATATGTTTACTGGCCCATAGTAATACTTAGTGTAGCTCAATGGAAACTTGTCTCATTCTGTGAGCTTTAAATCACCACGACTTAGAAGCCAACAGCATTTTTACTTTGTGTACATGACTGTCAGTACTTTGAGAGTCAGAGAGCATAGACTGACTTGTGAGAACGATTTTATTTCCCATCCAAAGTGATACTAACAAAAGCAATAAAAGTGTAGGATGAAAGTGCACACCCTGTCAACTAGCCGCTTGATTTATAGGACACTGACGGTAAGCAGCCCTAGTAAGTGAACAAAAAACAGTTGTAGCTGCAGCTTTCAGTATAAAAATGTGTGCTGAGCTGCTTTTCTGGCTCCCTGACCTGTTCGGCTATACTTTATGGCTGCTAAGGAGCACCACTTGTTCTGTAAAACATAACCCTCAGGAGATATTAATTGGTTGCACTTGCGACGCTCCTCTAACTTTCACCCTCATTAATCATCTGCTTGACAGGACCACAGCAAGTAACCAGGGCTGGCACCTTGCAGGTTCTTCTTGAAGTATCAGGCTAGTTCAAGGGGCAGCTTACAAGCTATGCAGCTTCTGCCTTCGGATTCAAGTACCGTGCAGACCGTTAGCACTGAAAAGGCTGAGAGCTGTTATTTCTAGGAGGATATAGCATAAAGTTGGGCAAACCGCAGGACTTGGTGGATGTACACCAGGACTAGATGCACATAGCTTGAATATAGAATCTCAGTTTAGGCCCCATTTGAGAATTATGTGCTAAAAAGCAGCAGTGCAATTCATACCTCTTCCAATATTTCTGAAAGAGAGGTTGAGTATTAAAAGGGAGGAGACTCAATAGGCAGTCATACCTAAAGAATACTTATCCTTTAATGTTAGAGTACAGAGGTAGTGAAAGCAAAGTCTTTCTTGTTGCTGGTATAATTGCCTTTTGGAAAAATAAAGTATTTTAATGCCCAAGGCTGGTAGAATCAAATTCTTTAAATTTGCAAACATTCCTTCCCCCCTCAACCTGCCCTTGCAATATAAATGACGGAAAACAGAAAGCAGCATAAAAAATCTGGAGATATGCAAAGGAATTCAGGCTAACTTGTGGAAATATTTTTCAGATAGGGTTGGTGGTTGTGTAACGGATAATGACATTTCTCATAGGTCATTGAGAGGGAGGCCAGCTCCAAACCTACTCTTTTCAGAGACAGCCATTATATCACTAGAGACACTGTGCCTGGGGTGAGTATTTTTAGAAATGGATGGGAATAAGGCAGGTCAAGGAGCCTGCCATGAGGAGATTACATTGTTTGATGGCAGATTCAAGAAGATGAAACATTTTAACCCAGCCTTAGGACGTGACCGGAAGTTTTTGCAGTACCTAACTCATAATAACAAATATATCTATTTTTTATTTGTTTGTTTGCTGTATATATATACATATACGTAAATGAAATTAAACTAATAGAATAACACAAACTGAATATCTGAACACAGGTTTCCTTATCACATTTTGTGCAAACGAATCTGTTTAAATTCAGTACATCCCAATATATTATTTTTATTTATTTTTTATTATAATGTGCTATACCATGGAAATATAGTCTTAGATCTTTATCCAGCAATGCGCTTGTATAAAAGCCAAATTTGCAGAATCATAGAATGGTTGAGGTTGGAAGGGACCTCTAGAGATCACCTAGTCCAGCCCCCCTGCTCCAGCAGGGACATCTAGAGCACGTGGCACAGGGTGGCATCCAGGTGGGTTTTGAAGATCTCCAGAGAAGGAGACTCCACAACCTCTCTGGGCAGCCTGTTTGGATTTTACAATTTTTTTTTTTTTTAAAGTAACTACATCCAGTGAAAAAGGTCCATTTCTACCTTTAGTATCGCATCCCAGGAAAATGCTTAAAATTACACTACGAATGTACAATAAATTCCTACTTTGACAGGAAGAAAATCTTCTGCCCATTTATATACATATAAAAATCACATAATATATTATTAACCCATTGTGGACCTCACACTATAAACCATGACTTCTAATGATCCTCTCTGCTGTTTAGCCTAGAGCTTCTTGCATAAAACAGGATTAGAAACGTGACTACTAATGAAGACAGTCCAGCAAAAGAAAAGGCTAACAGAGAAGGTAAATAAAGTTCTTCTGAAAGAGCTGTCAAGGCAGGTTGCATGCAAAATTAATGGCTTAGTTTAACTCGAAAATCCTGTTCTGCCATAGCTTGGACTTTTCTGTGTCTCAGACACAAACAGAAAGGAGAATTACTCAGTGCTTGTGTGATGGCCTGTCTGGAAATAAGCTAATTTCTGAAAGCTTAATATCTCTGACTCTGAGTCAAAATGAGCAAGACTTCATTTACAGAACAATTCTGTTTGGGGTTATTTCATTTTGTTAATGTTAGGTGTTGAATGCCTTTTTTATTTGACACAAAAGAGACCTTAAAAATATTCATGAACTTTGAAAGGTATATATTGAAAATATAATGTAAGCAAAAGCACGAAAACTTGCCTTTTACTTTCTGTACTTAATAACTTAGTGAAACTGAGCTGTGTACATTTTGCTTTGACTTTCAGTCTGCATGTGCTTCTTAACTCTGTTCACTTGAGAAAAACCCTAACACTTTCCATTCCTTCTGCTCCGTCAGTTATATCTGCAAGTTTCACCTATTTCAGTGGATAAAAGTTCTGTAATTCTGGTTTAACTGGTGGCAAGTCAGATGACCATCAAAAGGAATGCACAAATGAAGCCCACCCAGACATTCAAGCACAGCTAATACATTTTTTTTTGTCTTGAAAACATTCAGAAAAAGTTTTAAATATCATAGAAACAGGAAATATGTGAACAATGCCAACAAATTGAACTGTAGGAAAGTCACTGGTTGTTTGATAAATTAAATAAAATCTTTCTAGTATTCATTTTTGCAAATTTTAAATACAATTAATAGAACAATC